TGCCCTTGCCACACTCGTCTTGTTGCCCAGGCATCGTCATGTCACTTCAGCTGTTCAGCCTCGATCACACCTCACCCAAGTTTAGTCTCTTGGCAGGCTATGAGGATGGCCGGGTTGCACTCTGGCACATGCATCACCTCTCATCTAGCACAACCAGTCCCACCACCTCAAGTCCCTCCGATCAACTCTTGTGGAGGCTGGCGTGGCAGGAGAAAGCGCACGTCGAAGCGGGTAGGTCGCCCTCATAGCGTATCCCAGCTTCCATGGCGATTGAAATTTCATTCGCGTTCTCTTCCCACCAGTGATGGCAGTGAGCGCATCCTCGAGTCACACCTTTGCCGTGAGCGTAGGGGCGGATTCGCGAGTCGTCAAGTACTGCTTGGACAGCGGCGCGCACGCAATGCCAGACTCAGAGGCATCGCGGCAAGCAGCAGCTGCCGATAGTGGGTCTATTGACCCTCATGCTTCGCCATTGGTCAAGAAGACAAGGCAGCAGGGTCGAGCGTCTGTGGACATCTCACGAGATGCGCGGATCGTCGCTACTGGGGGCTGGGATGGAGTGTAAGTCGTTTGGACCGGCTCAGTCCCCCTCTGTCCCGCCCTTTTGCTCACTTTCAAACACGATCCGCTGACACTGGCTGGGCTTGCAGAGTACGACTGTACGCCGCGTTTGACTTGGTTGAACTCGGAGCGCTGCGGTATCACAAGAACACGGTTCAGTCTCTCGCTTTTGCGTCTGTCGAAGACACTGTGGCCCCAAGCAAAGCGCGCTTCAGAGAAGGCGATGACAGGCTGTTGGAGAATGATGCCTCCTCCTCCTCCTCCTCCTCCTCCACTTCTTGCGACGAAGACTTACAGCATTCGCGCATCAAGCATGATCTGATAGCTGCTGGCGCCGACGGCAGAATGTCACTTTGGGATCTGGGCGACTTTGGTTTTCGAGTAGAGTAGTGGAGCTTGGCTTTCATTTGCGCTCACTAGTAGCCTGTATATTACACAAACATTCAATAGCGAAGCTTGATGGTCTCGCCATCTGAAGCATTGCTGCGGTATGACTTCGTGCTGCGGTATGATTTCGACGAGTGCAACATGGTTCAGTCTAGATCGTCCAGCTCTAAAGAGCCAGGCATTCGTCTGCTGGTGCTTTCGTTGCTCATTGTGCGATCTGAAGCGACGGTCTCTCCCCTAGCTCTGCGCTCGGCAGCAGTCCTCATACGTTCTCTTCTGCGCTCCGGCGAATCTTGCTCCATCTCCTCGTCCGTATCATCGCCTTGCACTCCTAGCCCATCATGAGCAGCTCTAGACGCTGAAGCTGCAGATGAAGTAGCATCAGACGCAGTGGACGTCGCTGCTGCCGCTTCGCCCGATGCCGAGGGGCTCGTCTCGCCCGTGATGCTGATGCGGCAGACTGGACAAGTGCCCGACTTTGCTAGCCAGGGAAGGAGGCAGGAGGAGTGGTAGAGGTGCTTACATGGCACTGTCGCATGCAGAAGAGGGTCATCAGCGGACAGCAGCACGTACACATCTCTGACCAGCGAGTCATACTTACTCATCACCAGCTCTTCTTCCTGCGCATCAGAGTCAGTAGGCGTCATGTCCGGCGGGTCATCATCTTGTGAAACTTGCGTCTCCTCCGCCTTGGCCTTGCCGCTGGCAGGACCTGCTTGCGCGTCGGGCTCGTCAGCTCGTGAAGCCTCTGCGTCTGTACTGGGCATAAAGTCGTCCATGCAAGTGGGACACTCGACATTACGGGCTTTGGCTGTTAAGAGCGCGTGTAGCATTCAGCGATCGGCTCGTACGACTTGCCAACACAAATGTGCTCACCTTTCCAAACCAGCTCGTGCCTCTTGAACCTGGCCAGCTTCGAGATT